CGAAAACCATATAAATTTGAAAAAATCACAAAGTTTATAATAATACAAAATTTCAAAAATCTAAAATTTGCAATTTTGAATACCGGACAATGATACAGGTCTATTGTAGTCTCGTCGTGGTCTTTTTGATAAAATTATTTGTGAAATCGATTTTTCGGTGAAAGACAACGGTTCTGTTATGATCTCATCATGGTCTTTTTGAGAGTTTGGTTAAGTGCTTCTCTCCTCTTTATTTACATTTGCATTGCTATGGCCATGTGTAGGGATTATACTATTATGGTGTTTGGTCCTTGTCTGATTTGTGGTAGTTTCAAGATTGAAATCTTTAAGATCGTTGTAGTGCTCTTAATCGTTTTGCCTCGAGGTGATTTTATGATCCGTTTTAGTTCTAATTTGTATGTAGTCAGGTTGGTTTGGCTCTAGTTTTGGTTTGTTGTTGGATGTCTAGTAGGTGTAGGCTTCTGCTGATTAGGAGACTCGATTGATCTCGCTAATTTTTGGTTTGTGTGTGTGTTGTCGCTTCTCGAAGTTGGGTATTCTTCGTTTAGCCTCCTTTTAAGTAGTTGAATCTTTTTACAGCCTCTTTCCACCGTCTTTTAGTTTAGTCAATAATCAGTTTTAGCATGTAGTCTTCTTTGGTATGTTCTTGTAAAGCTAACCTTGTGAGAAGATGCAAAGTTCTAAATTTATACTTTTAGGGTGAAGATTAGGTGAGTACGAGTTTAGATTCGCGATCGTGGTTCTTTGTTCTGGTTATTCATCGTATTTGGGTTCGATGGTTTGTAGTGTTCCTTTGCCTTAACGATAATTTGTGAGTTTTGCTGGTCCGCGTTCTGCAGCTCTTTCCACATCTTCCATTTGTTTCTGCAAGTATTTCTCTTGTGCTCTTTTTTTAGTGGTATCTCGTTTTTCTATTTATGTTGTTTAATCGTATCCATGGCTTCGTTTCAATCTTCCGGAGACTATTCTTTTTGTCCGCCGGCTTAGCTTTCCATGTGGTGAAATTTTGGCTCTGGTATCGTACACGTTGATAACCGGCTTGTGGCTCTTCTTGTGGTTCTCGCTTTGTATTTCAACTGGTTTTAATATTATAATTAGAGTGTAAAACAAACAAAAAAACTAATTGCATTTAGACGAAGGTAATTTACCTTTGTCATTCGAGTTTCACGTTTTGACCTTTTTGTTGGNATTGGTGCTGATTAAAGTTTGTTTGAGTTATGTCTTTAGGTCTTCCAATTCTTTAGAGAGAGAATCGGTCTTTCGAAAAACAAATCAAACATATGCTTACGATCCTTTTCATAACATATGTTTAAGGGATATGTTTCAGAAAAATTCGTGAATATGTTTCTGAAAAACTCGTGAATTTTGTGAGCTTAATTCTTGGTGATACCTTTTCATATGTGGGATTTTGTAATTTTAAATTTTGATATACATAATACGAGACGACAAAAAAAGACTAAAAACATCTATTAACAAGGGCTAAATATTAGAGACAAAACTTCTCAGTCATTACGTTTGGAAATGGAAGCTTTTGTTTGGATCATAAACATCATATCATCGAACAAAAATTGTTACCATTATTTCAAAACCAATGAAAATAATGCAAAATTCGATAAAACAACCAATTATCTTGATTATGTTGGATGAGTATCATTGAAGTAGGAACTTATTTCGTTTGTTTAATTTATATCTAATCCTCACATTATAAAATTTCAGACGGATTATCAGGCAATTCCACCACAATCAAAGTTTTTTTTTATGTATAAATATTTGGGTATAAATGGTAATGGCTGCATTTGGATTAGTTTATGGAATTTGGCTGAATTTTGGATATTTTCTTACGGAATCGAACGGGATAACCATTGCCTCACTTTCAAAGTTAATGGATGATTTTTTTCATAAGAAAATGTGTTTCACTAAAAAAAAATTATTTAAATTTAAAGATATTAGAAAAAAAAACAAAAAAAACCTTACGATAAAAATGAATGTTATAAGAAAAAAAAGTTGTTGAATGAGAGGAATCTTGCCAAATTAATTTCTCCCAATTCTTTCAACTCGAATGGTGTTGGATAATTTTTTTTTTAAAATTCCTCCCAGTTTTTCTACATTCCACAATTCATCTATCATTATTCAAACCATTTGTTTCTCGACTTTGATAAAACCTACCATGATGCATGTTGAATTCATAAACCTAGCATAAACATATATAAAGATGCAAATAAAACAACAAAAATTTGGATTCCGAAAAATCGAGTATTGGGCACAAATTCTTAAATCCGGCGTCAATTAGTGTATCCAAAAATTTTAATTTCTACCAGTAAAAATAAAATCATATTTTCAAATCATAATTTTCAAACGTGAGCCATTACATTTCATTTAATAAAATAGACAGATAGATAGATATTTTAAGTAACTAGTTTTTTTTTTGTCGAAAAGAAACTAGTTTTAAAATAAAAATTACAATGTGTAATACTCATAAAATAGATTTTCATTTTTTTCTAATCAAAATGTTCTTCCACCTGATGTGACTCCTCTATAATCCATCCCCAGTTATTGATTTGGGATTTCCTGAGCCCATTAATCGACATGCATTTTTAAAACTGTAGGTACAC